ATAAATGAAGGATAATTTTAAAATCTCAACATAAATATCATTGGTTGGAATATTGCGCATTGAATTGAAGTGTTGATGAAGTGTTCAATGACGACATAAGAACAGTTGTACATATATTTCGAGAAAAATAAACATGTCAAACACTATACCAATTATCTCGACAGTCTATGCTAAAATTCGAAATTGTTTAATCATTCAATTTGAGTGAAAGTTTAGTTAAATCAAGCAAATAATTCATGATTGTGTATGAAAAAAATAAAAACATATGTATTATATTATGAAATATGTATTTATTTTAACAATCTCACAAAAACAATCAAGACTTCCATACGACCCCTTATTTCAATAATGAAATTAATGAAATAATTTTTATCAGCATGATGCAATGTTCAAGCTAAGTTCCAAGTATTAATCACCAGTATATAGTATTCATCATAGTTAACTATTTTAACATCCACAACTAACTATTAATGGTTACTTGCTTTCTCTTTGAGGGTTTAATGTAACACTCTCATGCCTAGCTATGCACTAAGCATTTGTTTTCTTTTACACATTATCATTTGCAGTTATTTATTAAATCAACTTTGTTTCTAGCTTTCAATTCCTAATTATTCACTACTTCCTACCAATTTATGGGAATGCTAAATATATTTTTCATGTCTAATCTATTGACCATAAATGTTGCTTATCACTTAAATCCAACGGTATCCATGTTAGGTTTGATGTCACCAACATATTCTCCCAATTTCTCCAAAAAAGCATCATATCTTGCCATTGATATAATAGTTTTGTTAGGTAAAGTTCAACAAACTCAATCAACATTCGAACTCTTTAAAGTAGCTATCTACATGCGAATATGAAGTACTGAGTAGCTAAAACTCTACTTGAGTTAGTACAATCTTTTGCGCTTTCGATTCAAAATTCAATACATGATTATCTTATTACGATTTAGTCATACTAATTGTGCAGTAGGGGGACATCTTATCAAAATCGTATAGAAGACTCTTTAATTGATCGCTTTCATGATGTAATCAATTTTACCAAAATTGAAGTGATCAAATTTATAAGATGCTCTCAAAGTTTGCTATAATTATTGAGGTTCAGTAGCACGTTAGGCGTAACGCGGTCATTGGGCATTTTCTATCTCCTAGCTCGGCTAGACATGCTTAGACAATATAATAAAAATAGCAATTTTTAATAATAATGAATAAAATAACAGTTCTAAAGCACTTTCATACTTTAGTTCAAATTATTTAACAACAAACTAAATAACTCTCAAGTTTATAAATTATTTTCTTTTACCAAATGATATAATTAATTCATTCATGAGCTGAAATAGCTAATTATCAGCACTTCAATTTAAGTTAAAACTCTATATGATACAATTGTTTGACGAAATGAGTTTATAATAGAGTGGTTCTATCGAGAGAGGTCTCTAAGAAACATGACTTACTTTATTATTCCTTAGGTGGATATAATATCTATTTTCATCGTTACTTTTACATTGGGTTTAATTTAGTATTCTTTTTCTTATGCAAGATATGATTTTATCTTTGATAATATAGATTTATTTTTTCAAGCATGTGGATGCTTGAGACTTCTCATTTGCCTCATAACTTACATTTTACAATGGCTCCAAACATGGATGGGTTTCTATTCAACACATAAATTTTTAATGATGTAAAAATTATGAAACTAAGATGCATATTAATAAACAATGTAAGGTCTCATCTTCCCTCTTAAGCACTACATATCATTGTTTACTTACCATTAAATCAAAGTCTTTCTAACTTCAGTAAGAGCTACAATGACTTTTATTATTGTGGATTTCCCCCAAAATGTTAGGTATGCTGCTTTTAGTTTTTGCCTTCTTTTTGGTTTGATTTAGCTTTCTATATGCCACTCGAACCATGACCGTGTGAGTTAGTTTGTTTCTTTTTAAGGAAACTCTAAACATATACTTTGTTTCATTATATCATTGAATACACTCAAGTAAATGGAAAAGACAAATTTTTTATCGTATACTGAAGATTGATTATGCATGTATGATGTAAAACAACTCTTATCATTTTTTTTTCTTGGACATTTTTATATAGATATGACTTTGTTTGAAAATATGTATTTATGTTAGTGTAGTTGGACGTTGTGGCTCAATAACCAAATCTGGACCATTCATTTAGAAAATCCAGATCTAATGATGGAAAATTAAAGACCATTTTTATTTTCACTAGTTTTCTTAATTGACTCATATCTTTTTCGTTTTAACTCGGATTTTTTTTTTGCACAGATGGAACGAGTTCATCGTGCTCTACAAAATGAGATCAATTTTCAATATTTTTTGAGGAAAAAAAAATTCTGGCCTCTCGGTACCAACTGCATACCATATGGTATCTTCTTCGTTTTTCATTCGTTTTTGAAAACGTTTGCACAACAGGGACGAGTTCATCATGATCTATTGGATCTACAAATTTCTGGGTGAACAAATTACAAGACAAAAAAAACCACACAATACCATACAATACCACCCTGGTACGGGGTGGTATTTTATGGTATCTTATGGTATACAATGTTAAAAGTCGTAAATGACAATTAATATACTTCTACTATCATGTATTCAACCATCCTACAGTTTTGGTTTGTGTCATACCACCATGGTACGCTTTTCAAACCATAGGTATGCTCTTATTTCAATACCAGTCAATACCATATGGTATAAACTGGTAAAAAATGACTCAATTTTTTTTGTTCGAAAAATATATCAAAGTGAATATCATTTTGAAGAACACAATTAATCTGATCTAACTGTGCGGAAAAAATTAAATTTTGACTTAAAACGACTGAGAAATCGTCCGTCAAAGATTAAGGAGGGGAAAATTAAAAGCTTTCCAGGAGAGAGAGGATGCTGATGTGGGCTGGTTACTCATAGTTACTCACCATAAGGTTACTGACCTGATCCGTTCCCGGACGTTGTTTGTCATACATTATATACTTTCCTATATTATTCATGGAGAACTTACCAAATGAAATAGTTACTTCAATTCTCAACAACATGAACCATAAAAAAAAAATATACATCAATGTTTACTACACGTATACATGAAAATCAAACTCTCCCGACCAAGAGGCCGGGCCCTAATCTAGTTAGGAAAAGTCAGCGTATCCCGCCTCGATATTGCGATACCTATATCGTATCGATTTTCAACCTTACCCGCAAGGCAGTTTCAAATTGGCATCACTCATCATTAGGAGAGTAGCAGTTGGTTACTTGGTATCGGTGTGGGAGAGGGTTTTAAGAAAGAGGCGTGTTATTTGCCGCCCGTATATTTACTATTTGCCGCCCGTTTATTAATTTGAAATGACATTTTTGCCCTCCTCAACACTCCTTCCATCACCGAAACATCATCGTCCGCAGAACCACCATCCATGGAGTCAGCGCCGGTGGACCACCACCGCCAGAGCAAACCGCCGGCCATCGTCGAGCCAACGAATGAGGTAACGAGCCTCCACCTCCCGGCGTCGCACCCATCGGGCCCCGTCCGCTCGCCCCCATCGGATCCCGCCCGCTCGCCTCCGTCGGACCCCGTCCGCTCACCCCCTTCGGACCCCGTAAGCTGGCCGGCGTCGGACCCGGTCGAAAGTCGAGATGAAGAAGGAGGAGATGGAGAGAGGGTATTCAACGGGGAGAAGTTTAAGGGAGGTTATTGGAGAGAGAAGTGATTAATATTATTGTTTATTATTATATTTAATGATAATGATTAGGATTCTCTCGTAAATGAGAAGGATTAGGGGATGATAAGTATTATTATTATTATATCAATGTGGGTAATTTAGGAAGTTTGTGGTATGAAGGTTTTAATAAAAGAAAACAAATTAGATTTCTGGCGAGATGTTAGTTAGAAAGTTAGTGGAATCAACGTAAAAATCAATCTGACTTTTAAAAACTCTTTAATTATTACAAAAAACTATGTTTAATTTGCATAATTATCAGATTTATAATTATTTAAAACAATATAATTATTTAGTCACAATTCTATAAAACGAATCCTTTAATTTCGGCAATAAAATCAGTAAATTATGTAAAGTAGTGATTAACTATAATTATGTTAAATTATGTTAAGTAGTGATTAAATGTGGACGCCAATTAGGGGAAGACGTGAGTTTTTTTTTTTTTTTGATCGGAGGGAAGACGTGAGTTATGGACCTGTTAATTATGGATTTTTTTTCCGGATGTCAATTAAGTAAATGAAAGTAAAAGTGGACGCCAATTAGGGGAAGACAAGTTAATTAAGGGAATATTTTACGGTTGTTTATGTAAACTTTTATGTAAACTTTTATATATACCATGAAAAACTTCTCTCTTTTATTTTGGTGAGAAAAAAACTCCTCTTTAATATTCTACCGAAATATATCAATGAGAAAATCAATCTTACCTTAAAATACTCCCTTTAATTTGCATAATTATCAGATTTCTAAATATTTAAAACAATAAAAATTTTATTCACCGGCGGCCCGTCCGACGCGGGAGATCGGACCACGTCCGATGCGAGAGGTCGGACCCCGTCCGACGTGGGAGATCGGACCACGTCCGATGTGAGAGGTCGGACCCCGTCCGAGGCCGGCCGGCGGACCACGTCCGATGCGAGAGGTCGGACCACGTCTGAGGCCGGCCGGCGGACCCCGTCCGAACGCCGACGTCGGACCGAAGGTCTCCGTCCATCTCATTCCGAGGCCTTGCTCCCATGGCGATTCCCTCGCCGTAGCCGCCACGCAAAAACAAGAAGCGATTGAGAGTCGGGAAGCGGAAGAAGATGGTTGCGGGGAAAAAAGAGGGTGAATCGCGGCGGCAGGTTTGGTCCTCCACAACGGCGGCAGCAAAACGCAGCCAACAGTTCCGGCGAGACATTTTAGTTAGGTTTCAAAGTGTTGAAGGGCAAAATTGACTTTTTCTACAAAATTATGGGCGGCAAATAGTAAATATACAGGCGGCAAATAGCGATTCATTTAAGAAAATCGATAACGGAAAACCCTTTTTCTCCGCTTGCATTACTGCAACTCCCTCCTTTCGCGAGTATTTCGCCTTCCCGATTGTGGCTTCTTCACCATGGAAGAGGAGCCCAGTATCCTCGAAGCCTTACTCGACGATGGAGAAGAAGACATCGAGATGGTCGACGTCGAAGAGGGCCAACTCTTCGAACAAACTACCGACGCCACCGCCCAGACCTCCGGCGAGGCTAACAACAATGGCGGCGGAGGCGGAGAGTCTCTTGACACCGCTATGAATCCGGGTAAAAAGAAGAGGAAGAAGAACAGGAAGAACAAGAAGAAGAAGCAGCAGCCCAGCAGTGGTCCGGCTCCTCCCGTGGAAATAAATAGGTACGAGGAATTGGGAAACGGAAATGCTCAATTGGGTTTAGCTTAGTTTCATTCGGATGCATTTTCCCTGTTACCCTAATCTCTGGTGGGTGTTATCTATTTGTGATTGCAGGTTTGTGATAGATACGTGTAGGCGTCTGAAAGAGAAGAAATCGTACTTGATCTACTCTGCTGTGGGGACTCTTGGTGTTGAGGCCTTGAGTGATCTGGTCAGAGAGGTTTGTTTTCTTCATCAAGACGTTCACTTACTGATTCCCCTTTCATCTTTTATGGTGTTAATCCTTGTGAGGTTAATGAATCAGTTTTGTCTGCTACCTGCTATAGAGCCTCTATGCCGTTTCTGCATTTGAGTCCTTGTTTGGAGAAGTTGGCCAGTTTTGTGCTTTATAGGTAGGTCATTCATTACTTGTTCTTCTGCTCAGTTTATCCATCCAAATCCTTTTATTAAGTAAAAGTCAACGATCTTGTTCCTTGTGATGTGCCCATCTCTCAGCATCCTTCATGCTAGTACCTTGATGTGCTTGATGATCATAATGAAGTGATAATCTGGATCATGAGATGTTTTGGGCTGGATTAGGATGCCTGATGCTTACTGTTCTATTGAAAAAAGCTCCTCATAGCTGCATGATGATGTATGTTGTCTCTCAATGCTTTCCAGACTTTCGTTACCAGAAGTCTATTTTGGTGCTGCGAATTATGTGCTCTGAGATGAGCAATTCCCTGTCTACTCATCTCCTTTGTGTAGGTTTCTTTGTTCTGTCTTCTAGTCTTGGGTTTTTATGCATGGCCATTTCCTCACTCTGTTTCTCTTGCCCTCCTATACTCCCCTTTGTCTGTGCTCCTACTATATTAGTTTGGTTGTCATAAATATGCTGAAATATGCAATGAAATTCAGGTGGATGCTATTCAGTCATGTGGGGGACAGATGACTGCAGATGGCAAGCGTTCTCGAACTGGCGGTGGGATATTATGGAACATCTTAAAGGCGAGAGAACCTGCAGCATACAGAGAAATTATGAAACAAGCAAAGGCGTTTGAGGTGTGTGGTTCCGTAGTTTTCTGTTAAACGTCTTTTTTAAGCAACTTGTGGGGATTTCCATTGTGTGACCGTCAGCTGTGGTGGTGGTGGTCTATTGAGCTTTCTCTCTATGTCATAAATCGTAATGCTAACTGATTTTCTCTCCTTGGTGTTCTTCTTTCAGAAGCAATTATTTAAGCAACAGAAGATGATGATGCGATCAGCTAATGCAGAAACTGTAGTAGGGTTGTGTAATGAAACTGCAAATGCAATCACTGAGGACGCGACTCCAACAAAATTTGGCGAGCTTGTGCCTGAAAGCCAACAACTTGTAAAGGACAATGGTGAGATGAAGCGCGGTTCGGTTCATGATAGGATTAGGGTACCTGTTTCATATGAGGATTTGATTCAGGATGAACCAGAGGACAGTTGCTCATAGCTTCTTTGGCGTGGAAGGTGTGTAAATACTTGGTCAAAAGAACAGCTACATTTTTTTGGGGTGGGGGGTTCAATTCTTGCTTTCTGACGAATGTCTTTTGAACTGTCATAGTCCCCAATGGAATGCAATGGTTATGTGGGAGTTCTGGTATGTTTCTCTCATGTATTTTGCCTTTCAATTTTACATGAAGTCCATCTTCCTTATGAATACTTGACAAATTTAATTGAATGAAGAAGAAAGGTACAAGTCAATGTGGTAAATTTCGAATGCCAGCTAGGATGTAAATGAAGAGGTGGACAACTACAAGGTTGGGAACCTTGTGAAGTTCTCTGCTCGTGGGAGATGCGGTGCTAAACTCGCCACTGGATCAGTAATGTGCCACACAAGGATCTGAAAGGAGTCCCTCCAGATCATCTTCAAGGGGAGTTGAGACCTTGGACACAGTCCCACAGTACCTGAAGACTGATAATAGAAGTGAGAGATGTTGATCGCAGCTCCACAAGAACCACAGCCCTCGACTTAGGCAAGTCCCTTCTCTTTTCCCCTGTTTGGATCCTGGATTGCAGAACATTCAAACAAAGTACTGTTGTTGTAATCAAACCTAAAATCCCTGTAATCTAGTTTAGGATCCGTGACTCCCAGGTGGCATTTGGCTCCTGTGGAACTCCATCGAAACCATGATCTATGTCATTCGTGTGGGATGGACATATGCCACTGGGTTTTAGGCAGCCCACGTCTCGTGCAACTGTATGTGGGGAATGGGTCGTAGTTTGGTGGACGAATGGGGAATGAATTGCGAGTAAACGACGCCACAAGTTCTGGAAAACTACGAAGGACCCATGGAAATAGAATAGGTAGAAAGAATTCTGCATATCCATGATTGTTGTTACGAACTCTAATAATCCAAAGACATCATCATCTCACATAACAACCATCAGAGAATAATTTACACACATAATAGGAGAGTAACGAGCAACACTCCGATTTCACAATCACATGGAGACATAGGTAAAGAAGCCCAGCCAGAAAGAAGCCAACACTCAGAGGATTGGAATGATAGAGAAAGCTGCAAGGAGTCCGACTGAAATGTTTCTTCGTCCTTCGTGCTGAGATCAATTTAAGACTTGCTTGAGAAAGGAATGGCTCTGATAACAACCTGGTGATAGAGAGCAGCTAGGGCAGCTCCAATGAATGGTCCAACCCAGAAGATCCACTGCCACACACAACAAACAACAATGGAGAAATCAGAACATGAACACAAACGCCAATACGAAAGGTTAAGCGCGCTGGTCTTTTACGGTTCTGTTTGTTGCTTACATGGTCATCCCAAGCATGGTCCTTGTTGTAGATGATTGCAGCTCCAAGACTCCTAGCCGGGTTAATGCCGGTTCCGGTAATGGGGATGGTGGCCAAGTGCACCAAGAACACTGCAAACCCGATTGGGAGAGGGGCCAAGATCTGCAACAGAAGCAGGAAATTATTAGGTAACAGCATCCTGCTTATCATCCATTGAATCCATCAAATGAAAAGATACACGAACGATACAAAACACTCTTCACATGGTTAAAGGCTAAAGCTATGCATTACCCAAAGGTATTTTGATAGGATTAGCCAGTGTCCCCCATCACTATTACCACCACCAAGAATGTTTTGGGAAAGCGTAGGGACCAAAATTCACATCTTTCTCAGTCCCATCGAAAACATCACTTTTTTTTTTACAAGAAAACATCACATTCAAAGGTCCCCTTCTACCCCAAATAATGAGCCGTTCAAAAGAGGCAACTCTGAACAAGTCACATGCACCATTGGCAAAAGCATCCTTCATCTTGTTTGCCACAAGAAACGCTTCGATCCAAAGACATGGAGTCTCAAAGCATCATGAAAAACCAACTTGGCGAGACAGAAAACTATGCTTAACTTAGAATTATGGCGTGATAAAAACCAGATCTTGAAAGGGCAGTCAGTCCACTAGGGTTAATCTCAAAATGCTATCTTAAAGAATCAAAACTTCACCGCTCCCAGAGTACTGAAAACCTTAAATTCCAAAGGTAACAACATACAAAAGAACACCAACAAAAAGCAATTAAGGGCAGTTTAGTACTAAGTCAGGTAAGGTGGAAAGTAAGTAAGTATATACGTACAGGAACATGTGAGTCTCTGGCGTTTCTCTTGGCATCAGTAGCTGAGAAGACAGTGTAGACTAGGACAAAGGTACCAATAATCTCAGCACCGAGACCATCGCCCTTGGTGTAGCCACCGGCCACCACGTTGGCGCCGCCACCATTGACCTCAAAGCTCTGTTTCCCTTCGAATCCCCTGATCACACCAGCACCACAGATGGCTCCAAGCGTCTGCATGATGATGTAGAACACCGCCCTTGTCAAGGACAGCTTCCTCGCCAAGAACAGCCCAAATGTCACTGCTGGGTTGATGTGTCCACCTGCGTTTTTCCACAGATCTAGTCAGTGTAGTCCTCAACAACATCATCTCTAGCAACACAAACCCATTTCTTAACGGAATCAACCACCAAACCCCAGCTAAAAAGTACAAAACTTTGTTCTTTCTGGCAAGAAATCCAACAACCCAGAAAGAAATTTCCAAGTTTTGGGGGGGTTTTTTACCTGAGATACCAGCGGTGCAGTACACAAGGGCGAAGATCATACCACCAAAGGCCCAAGCGATACCCTGAATCCCCACAGTGGAGCACTTGGAGGGGGACTTGGAGACGCCCATGACGGTGAGGACAGTGATGTAGAGGAACAAGAAAGTGGCCATAAACTCAGCGATTCCAGCTCTGTAGAAAGACCAAGAAGAGAGCTCACCGGGCTCAAACAATGGAGCTGGTGGTGGCTCCTTGTAGTCCTTGTCAGTTTGAGCAGAGGTACCAATGGGCTGCCTCTCTGAGAACTTGTTAGCTCCCAATCTCACATCTTCTTCCTTGCCCTCCATTGCTGCTCTCAAGAAGTTTTGAGCTTTGGGGTTCTCTCTCAAACAGAGAAATGGGGGGATGTTGTTGGGAAGGGGAGAGTGGGTAGTGGAGACTGTGTGAGAGAAAGGTTGAAGATAAGGGTGAGCTTTATAGAATGGTCCTTATTCTGTCTTGTTATTAATTGCTTGGGAATATGAAGTTCATTTTAAATTGCTTTATTGTACTATATTATAATAATTTACCTTAAGAGCAATTTATTAATAAATTAAAACCTACTAGTGTTTTTTACAGTTATGTTGTGGGTTTTTCCTTTTAACTACACTAGAACATTCATTGAAGTGTAGAATTTGGGGGGAAATTGAAGAGAAAGAAAGGGTGATACTGATATGACATGATGGGGAAATGGAATGATTTTATTTCCCTTTCATGAGTCATTATGCAATGGATGCTTTGCTTTGAATTAAAGGATTAGTGTCATTATACAAAGCAAAACCTGAAGATAATTGTCATTATCAGCTCAATAATAGAAGTTAGAATTATCAAAAGTGAAATGTAAATGGTAGAAAGTAGGGATTTGGTTCAGTTGAAGCCTGAAGGATTCTGGAATGACTAGAGGGAAGGAATGGGTGTAATGCAGCAGAGCTGACAGGTTGGTATTATGGTCTCCCCCAATTTGATTGTCATTATACTTTTAGAAGCCTCTTCTATAATATTATTCCCTTGATTTTCTGTTGTTTTCTGTTCCCAGAAGCAATTAAAATAAACACAGTTATTCCTTTTGGGTGGCTGCTTAATTAATTGTTTATTCCTCTGCATATATATTATTAAGGGATGATTTGGGATGGTGAGCTGTCTGTAAATTCGGCCTGGCTCATCATCATCACCTAATTTCATCAATCCAATTACAACCACAAAACCATAGAGTGGAGGAATTTTATTATACCTTAATCTTAATATTGTAGTGCAAGTGCATTTATATATTTTTATAAATATTTTATAGTATAAATTGAATTTGTATTTTCATGCTACTTATGGTACAAATTGAACTTTATATTTTTTTTCCTTTACATGTTACTAGGATGGGATGCGGGCATGGAAGTTCACCTTGCTATTTGAACTTGGAAATGGGAGGGTGCAAATGGGAGGGGTAAACACAATTTTCAATGCACCCGTTTGGATAATTTGTAACAGTAGGGGTGCAAAACGGGGTGTAGAATTACTATTTCTGCTTACCCCCGAACTGGGGTGCAAGGGAGGGAAGGAAGGAGGGGGGGGGGGGGAGGGGGAAATTATGGATTTTTTAATTATATTATAATTACATAATAATTAATATTATTAATTTTTTGTTATAGCTATCATTAATGTAGACGTTGTTTAGGGTTGACCGTTTGACTTCGAGAGCAAGTTTTTCAATATTCGTCTAGTCAAATCGATATCTCTTGGTTGACTCAAATTTGCATTGAAAATTAGAGATAAGAAGCGTTTGTGGAAAAGATAGAGAGGAATGATTTAGTTGACTCAGTTTACTTAACTAAATAGTTAAAACTTACATATTCGAACATGTTTGACTAAGTTTGATAATATTCAATTTAAATATAGGCACGAGAACCCCTTTAGGAGGACCAGTTACGAGTTGGGTTTCGAGTTTCGAGGTCGCTCGACCAATGATTATTATTGTTGTTACAATTAATTATTATTTGAGCATTAGTATAAAATAATTATTTTAATAAAAATATAATTTTTTATTATATATTGATTTTTATTTTTATTATTTTCTAATAATATTTTATAAATTTGATAAATCTATATTATAATAATATAATTACTTATTTTTCAGTCTATTTGTACCCCTACTTTTTCATTCAAACAACAATTTACCCCTCCACTTACACCCCCACCAAGTTGCACTTCCTAAAAATTTACCCCTTAACTTGCACCCCACTCGAACTTGCACCCCCTTGTTGCCAAACATAGTTAAGTAAAAAATAAGTGTTAAGTCAAATCCTTGTTCATAGATCATAAAATAATTCGAGTTTCAACAAACTGGGGAGAAAACCAATTTAAGTTATTAAATATGAACAACAAACAAAAAAAAAAGGGGAAAATGTCAATCGAGTATCATGTTGGTGCTAGAGAGATGGTGAGTACATAATCGATGTAGTTAGACTAGACTCTTCTGTAAGTTGGTCGTTGTTTACAAAACAAATATATGATTTCGCTTAACCTAATTTTCTCACATTTTTAGAAAAATCCTAACAAGATCAACATACACTGATCCTATTCCATCGGTATCGTGAACACGAATGCGAGGATGTGCTGTCTTGATAAATGATGATTAGCATTTATAGTAATGAGTGCTTCCAGATAGTTCCATGTGATAATCATTTCACTTGTAATTTAACAAATTGTATTTTTTTTGGGGTTTTCCTTATATTTAGAAGCTCTATTGTCGACAATCACCAGACCTGCTCCGATTTTATGGTTGATCGGATTAAATAGAAACTGATTTTACTGGGATTGTCCTCCTGGCGCCTGAATAATTAGTCAATTGAAACAATAATTGTGGGCTGGTTTGTTGGTCCCCGGGGCTGGTCGAATCGAAGCACCCAGACGGTTTCACTTTCGGCTGGAGGAAGGGAAGGGAAGGGAAGGGAAGGGAACCAATGACAGGATAGCCATTAGCCACACAATGCCGACCGTTGGGGAAGTGACAGCCCGGGCAGCCGCTTTTTTCCCTGCCCGGGCAACGGCTACGTTTATTGCCATCCTCTCTTAACCCGTTGGAGTGGGCCCAGGCTCGTTGCTGGATTGGGCCCGTTTCTTGATGAACGGCGCACAAAAAGTGGGGTAACAAATTGGAAAAAGGTCCAGCCGACCAGCATAACATTAATTAATTGCTTTTTTTCTTTCCCGCACGGGTAAATTACAATCTCAGCTCACTTTGAAGCTTAACGAATTATAGGGATTGTTTCCACTGCACTGCATGCTATATTTGTATGAGTCATTTGGTGCTAAACAAATCGGTTGCTGACAGAAAAAATGACTGATTTGATATTCTCTCGTTGAATTCGTAGTGCTAATTTTGGAATAATGAACGAAATAGACCATTAATTTTTTTGAAATGTGGCATTTTTCAAATTAGGGTGACAATTTATGCACATTTAGTAACCAAAAATACAAACCCTCTAATTAGTTATAGAGTAGGGTGATATTGAGATGGTTTCCGAGTAACATAGATAGGCATTGGACTGAGCATTATATTTAACTTGAATCGGGAAATGGATAAAACATGTATCCTCCACAAGAACTAACTAATGTCTATATGACCCGTGGCGTATGCGCGCAACTATGTTATGAAGTTCAGTGGATGTCAATCTAGACTTAAAATTACTCATTAAATTTTTGATAGATTTGAGAATCAATACAACTGTCAAGACAATGACACATCTTGTCTAGCTAGCATTTTCAAAATCCATGAGCTTTATATTTTGACATCCCCTAACTCCAAATTCCAGGTATGTCTCTGTATCTGCCTTGCTTTGATTATTAGTTATGTGATTTGCACACTAATCAGAATCTGTAATTGTTATCAATCTTTCTATTTAAAAAAGTAATTGTTATCAATGAAAAAATTTAAAAAACACTTTGCTAGTGTTGCAAAACGTTATTTTAAATGAATAACGATCATGTGATTTGAAATGGTTCGTCTTAAAAAGCAATTATAGGTAATTGACTATCTTTTTTTTATTATAATTGACTACCTTGAATTACACAACTTTTTTTGTTAGGTATAGTTTCTGACTTCAAGTGGTTTCTTTAGGCCATCCCTTTTATTGATGATGAAATCCTATCACCACAAACCCATGGATGGAAGGAAGGCATATAAAACAAAGAAATTCAAATAAAATTCTTAGCCTGTAGAAGACAAAACAGAACTCCCATATCTGTTTTGTTTTAAAATAAACAAATGAGAATAAACTATAGCATTTAAAAATTATATTTTATAATCCAAATGAATGATCTTATTAGTATAATTAATATTAAGTGATTAAGTAATCACCCATTAACTAGCATGATAAAGAACAAAATCATACAACAACCAATTTTAGCTTCACATGCTATCTGCTGTCTATCTAGCTTGCCCTTTCCTTCCCATTATGGGAATTAAGATTTATTTTGTTTATGATTGATTGTAATCCTCTTATAATGATTTATCTTGTTTATTTTAAAAAATATAAAAAAATAGTAAAAGATGAAAACCCAATAATGGTTGACAACTCATGCTTACAAGATTTCTTCCTGGTCTCTTGTGAACTCTTCATAAAGCAAAATTTTCATATGATCTCTCAGCCCCACAACTTCCCCACCATACCATTTGCAATGGCAATGGCAGGCTATTGGGATAAAGCAGGGTGTCCCTTAATTTGAGAGACACTTATGACGTCACAAAAGGACATATAATCAAAATAATCTGGATAATTGAATCAAATTTATTTTTTTGTCTCTAACAAATTTGGATGAATTAATTCTGCCAAGAAATTTTTGAATTGATCTATTTTGAGTTAATTTCAATTGTTTGGAATGAGAATAGATAATTCAAATTGACGCATTATAAATAATTCTTTTGTAAATTGAGATTGTTTCATATATGGATTAAATCCATTTAGAGTATTTGATCTATGATAAATTGGTAGAACTGTAGAAGTAAAAGAGGAATAGAGCTCTGACGGGTTATAAATCGGATATCTTTTCGAAGCAATACCGATCAAAGAAATCAAAGAAATAAGGTAGAAGATCATCTAATATTCATCTTGACAATAAATTAGTCTCGCATAAATCATTTATTCTTAGTACCCATTTCATTTTTTTTTTGTCAATTTTTCATTTTATTAATATTAATAAATTTTTTTATAGATTATTATCCCAACCATCCTTTTAAATTGCTAGTAGTATAATTAAGACATTAGGATATAATAATAATAATAATAATAATAATATATGAACACAACCCTATAGTTTCTGCTAGACCGACATATTTTCCCAGAGAACCCGTAAATACTTCTGCTACGGAAAAGGGTTGTGATAAGAAACGCTCAATTTGTCGTGCTCTTGCTATAGTTAAGCGATCCTCTTCGGATAATCCGTCCAAACCAAGGATGGCTATAATGTCCTGGAGTTCTTTGTAAGGTTGT